TTTCTTGGATTCTGGTTCATCAGGATCTTTTACCTGCTCACAGGAAAAAAAAAACCCAATAAAAAACCCAAAAGGAATACCTTAAACCTCAAGAGCTACAGTATTGTGCTTTCTAGCTCACACTTCATTTCCCTGGAGGTACAACTGATTAGCATACACTGGAGTGTCCTACAGAATTCCTGTAGGCACCAAACAGTCCATGTGCTCTCATAACTATCATTCACCCACAAGGCTGTCTTCCTCAGCTGTAAGTGTCCTGGACTGCCAAGCAAATTGTGTTCTATTTGCCATCTGTACGGCAGCTGTCTTCTGTTCAGTGGGCAGTTTTCTCTTCCACACCCAATCCTCTCTCAGGGGACACATCTGCTGATAACAGACTGCATGACTGATAAGAACTATAACATCCCATTGTGAGATGCTCTGCCCAGAAGGAAGAGGAAAGCATTCCTACCCAGATATAATCCTGAGATTCTGGAACACCAGCACAGCTTCTCTACTGGATTTCCCAGAGCAACAGCTGCCTCTTCCACTGGATCTTCAGAAGAAGACTACACCCTTTCTACAGGATCCCTGCTCCAACAGAACCACACCTGACACTCCAGGAGAGCTGCAGCCACAATTCCAATGGGACTGCTACCAGCACCCTGACCCACAGGATGTCAGGCTGTGCTCTGACTCTGTCAGTGTTGTTTTCATTTACTGCATTGTTTATTTTATCTTTTTTTAATTTTCTTCCCTAATAAAGAACTATTATTCTTGCTCTCATATTTTTGCCTAAAAGCCCCTTAATTAAAAATTTATAGCAATTCAGAGGGAGGAGGTTTACATTTTTCATTTCAGGAGAGGCTCCTGCCTTCCTTAGCAGACACCTGTCTTTCAAAACCAAGACAGTAAGTCAGAAGGCAGGAAGATCTGACACAGTGTGGAAATCTCATTCTGGAAGTGCTCACAGCTTCACTTGAAAGTGCAAAACACAGGAAACAGCAAAGCCCATCACACGAGCAGCTCGTGGACCCCTCAGATAGCAAAGACACTGCTCTGGCTGTTTCCCAGAACATCCATCAGATTTGAACATGTTCCAGTTCCTTCTCAGTTCAAAGACAAGCAGCTGGGCAGGGGGGCTGAGGGGTCACAGGGGAATGTCTTACCTCCTGGATGTAGGTGAGATCCCACACCCTCAGCTCACTGTCAGCGCTCCCAGTGATCAGACGCTTCTCTTGGGACAGCAAAGCCATGCCCCAGACCTGTCCAGAGGCACAATGTGAGGAACTGACTCCCTTAACAATCATTAAAAAAGCACAGCATCTTTAAATGACCTATTTAAACAGCAACCAAACAGAGAATGGATCAAGCTGGCACCTCCTCTAGGAACATGTGCATGGGAATTGTCACCCACTGTATCTGATGACAGCTCTTGAAATGTTTGGAAGTTTCTCATTTGCTCACTCCTAAAGCCTAATGAAAGTAAAATGTATGATGGTGCCAGCTTGCAACTCCTGAAAGCAAGGAAAGCCCAGAGTGAGCCCTGACATCCCAAGTCCCTCCAGCCCAACACTTCCACACATCCTCTTTTTACCTCAGCCCGGTGTCCAACCAGAGTTTTGAAGCAGTGCTGGGTGTCCAGATCCCACCATTTCACCAGTGTGTCTTTGGAACTGGAACAAAGAAGAAAAACTCAGACATAAGGAAAGACTGCAGAGCTCACCATTTTTCTAAGTGGTAGAAATACAAAACCCCTGTAGAAAGTGGTAGAAATACAAAATACAAAAAATCTAGAACATGTCAGAATGTATCACAGAGCAGCTGCTCAAACACTGACATTTTTCAAGCCAAACAAAAAAGGCACAGCAATGCTGCAAAAAGATATCTGTCAAGTTACCGAAGCTGACCTGCAAATATTTGAAATTGCGTTAAGAAATGGGTATCATCTACCAACAAAATACTACTTTTTCCATCTGAAAAAAAAAGCAAAAGAAAGTTGTTCTAATTTTAAACTGGACTGATTGCATGCACTCTTCTATTAAGCTAGTATATGGCATATTAAAAAGTAAAACATTAGTGATTGTTGTTGTCAACCAATTATCAACTGGTATCAATTATCAAATATCAATCAAAGGGATTCAGTCACCTTGCAGCTCTTTTGATTGAATAACTTAAAATCAGCTACAAAAAACCTATCATCTTTTAATTAATATGTGTATTTACAGCTTACAAGAAAGCAATTTTTCTGTCACGCTGCTGTGTGAATTACACATACAGAAGGTAAGTCTACTAAATTCTTCAAGATAAACAAAAAAAACCCCAAAAACTGTTACATACATAATGAACATGTTATCACTATTCTTTGTTACATTAATTTTAAGTTGGTGGATTTACCAACAATTTAAATCCTTTTCAGTATGGCCATATCAGTTGCTCTAAGACTTGGATTCAGGCACCAGACTTAAAAAAATATGTGGATGTGACAAAATCATATTCAAAGATGCTGGCGGGTCTGAGATATCACAACACAAGAAGGAAAATACAAACTGCTGTAGCACACAGGACATCTAAGTTGCAAGTACAACCATGCCTGCTTTCCTGATCAACAATTTCTCTTAGTCTGGCTCACCAAGTGACCAACAAGTTCTTCTCCTTCAAGAAAAGGACTTGGGTGATGACATCCTTGTGTCCCCTCAGCCGGTACAGGCCACTCTCATTGATGACATCCCACACGATGACTTCTGTATCCTGGAACAGAGAGAGTGTCTCCATGGGACTGGCCCTTGTCTCTGCAAAACTCCTGCCATGAGACTGGAAAGATTACCTGAGAGCCCACTTTCTCACTCTGAATCACAAGGATGATTAATGCAAGGGACACTGCTTCCCCAGAGGTGCAGTCAGACTGATCAATGTACCATCATCCCAGCCTGAGACACTTTTGCTATTCCTGATCTCACAAGATTCTTCACTTTAACAGCTCTACCAGTGCCCTATTTCTGCCTGCAGGCCCTGCTGCTCCCCCAGCCCCTCTCACTGCCATCCTCTGGCTATGGACAGAAGCCACACATAAAATACTGAACACTTCAGTGCAGGTCAGCCTTCCCCAGGGGCATCTCTGTGACAGGGTCATGCTCCAGATGTGACAGCCTCACCTTTGAGCCAGACACCAGCCTGCCACCCAGGTGGTCGTACTGCAGGGCTGTAACTGCAGCCCTGTGCCCATTGAAAGTGATCGCTGATTCCCCACTTAGGAGGTTGAAGACACGGATTGCTCCATCTTCATACCCAACAGCCAGGTGCAACCCATCTGGAGAGGGGCAGAGGCAACTGACTTGCTGCTTGAGGCCCTTAAGGATAAGAACCTGCATTTTTAGGAGACAAAACATGTATAATGTTGGTAAGTGACATGTCAGAGTCAGATACTTAGGAGAGAAAATATAGTCTGTTCATCTCCTGAACTTCCAACTGAGCACTTCTGCCACTTTATAAGTTCATTTTTCAACTTCTTGCACTAAATACAGTGTCATTAACCCCATTTTCCAAGGTAAACAGCAGCTAGAAGGGAAGTGATTTCTCAGGAAACCGGTGCAGAATGAGCCCTGGAACTCAGAACCTGAAATTTCTGCCTCCACATATTATGAACCAGAGCGCAAGAAATATTTTTTGAGAGTAAAATTGGAAAGTTTCTTCCTGACTCCATCCTCTCTTGCCTTGCCTTTCTCAGGTATAGGACAGAGAGGCTCCACACAAGAACTTGAGAATGATGAAAACATCTCCAGAACAACATACCAGCAGTCACCACTCCAGAGGCTGTGACACAAAACCAGATTTCAGTGTGTAGTGGACAGTAGTACTTGCAGTGATTTCTGAATCTCACAGGAGACAGTGTGTGGCAAAGTCCTTAAAGTTACAGCTCACATCCCCGCTATGGGATACAACTTTTATATGGGATACCCAGTTCCACAGCCGAAACACAAACGCTGTGACATCCCTGATTTGTCCAAGAACATTCACACAAACAGCTAAACCAGGAGCAGCTTTCCAGTTACTGCAACAGCATTTATTCTTCCACAACTGAGGTCCTGAGGCAAATCTCACAGGGATCCACAGTGAGATTCATTTTAAGACCAAGCTGAGATAAAATAAATTACTCCTAAACAGCAGAGCAGCAGGACCATCGCATCAGTAACAACTGATGGCTACAAGTTACTACCAAAGGAACACAAAAGGTGAGAGTTGCTGCATTCCAGATACCCATGATCCAAATCATCCACAGCCTCCTCTGTTCTGTGCGTGCTGGTGCTACCTGCTGGATTTCAACAAATGCAACCCTTATAAATTCCTTAATCAGAAATAGCCAATTACCTTCTTGTAACTAGCAAGAATTGCTTGTAAATATCCAACATTGCAGTATATTTCGGACTACTAGGACACGATGCACAATCCTCCAGCTTGGAGAACTGGCAGACACCAGCCTTTGGGCCAGGAGGCAGCCAGAGCCGCAGACCCTTTCCACAGCCTAACCTCACGCTGTGCTCACCCTTCCCAAGAGGCAGGGATGCTGTGGAGGTGGCGCTTCCCTCCAAACGCCGCACAGTAACACAAATAGCTTCGCTTCAGGCGGCCTAAAAGCCCCTCACGCTGCACCCCAGCCCTGCCCGGCACCGCATCACCCCGGGTCCCACCTTCTCTCCTTTCCTTGTGTCCCACACGAACACGTGCTCGCAAGCCGGCACGGCCACGTAGCGGCCCCGCTCTCCGCGCAGCGCCACGAAGGCCACGCCGGCCCTGGCGCTGGCCACCAGCCCGAAGAGCGCGGCGGGCTCGTAGCGCAGGTACTGCCGCGTCAGGCCCATGGCGGCGGCGCGGGCAGCGCGGGGAAGGAGGGCGCGGAATGGGGCAAGGAGGGCGCGGAGGAGCCGCGGCCGCCACACGTGCGGCGCTCCGGGCCCGCCGCGCTGGAAGTGCGTCAGAGCGGGCGCGGCTGCGAGCGCGGCCCCGAGCCCCGCCCGGGAAGGGAAGCGGAAGCGCGGCGGACGCGGAGCTGCCCTGGGTGATGTCGCCAGACCGGCGCCGACCGGGACCGTCTGTCCGGGCGGGGCTGGCGGCGGCTCTGCGGCTGTGCCCGTGAGTGCGCTGCGGTGCTGGGCACAGCCCGGCCTGCGCTGTGCGGGAGCCGGGCGGGGGCGGTGGATGCCGGGCGGAGCGCGGTGCCGGAATCCCGGCTGCCTGCCGTGGGGCGGGAGAGGCGGGAGAGGCAGGCTCTCCTCCCGGTACGGGCACGGCACTGCGTCCCGGGCACTGGGGCCGCGGCCCCCGCTCGCAGCGCTCTGCGCCCCGCTCCGAGCCCGACAATCCCTCGGGGCCGCCTCCGCCCTGGGAGGGCCCGGCTGCGATCGCGGGGGAGACACCCTGGAGATGTGCGCGCCCCGCTTCGCCTCCCTCTGCTGCCATAGCCAGAACCCTGGGTTGGCTGTTCGGCAGTGGGAAGATGCTGATGTAGATCAGCTCCCGGCTGGGGCCGGCGTAGCCGCGCTTATCTTCCCTTTCTCTCTCCTTGCCTTTTCTCCCAGCGGAAATTATACTTAGATGCTCTTACGGCTCTCTCTGTCCTCATGTCAGCCTATATTAGCCCTCAATGTGAGCTTGGATACTTGGGTGTTGTGTGTTGTGTTGTGTTGTGTTGTTTTCCCCGGGCTAATGAATGTACTTAGTAAGTCGCGTTTCACAATTACTCCTTGTGGGCGCGATCGTTTTCAAATTATTATCAATTACGAACCTGTAAAAGGAGTTAAGTAGTGGGTGTGTATGTGGCAGGCTGAAGTTACTTACGTGGGTATGTTTGCGCTAGTTTGATTCACTAGTGCGGCTCAGTAGTCACTACGGGAATGTAGGAGCCAAAGCGTTACCTGCTGGCAGCTGAAAAGTGAGTGCTGGCACGTTTGAGCCTTCATCTCAGGTGTCATCTCAGCATCAGTCAGGTGCCAGAGTTCCGTCTTAAAATTGTGCCTCAGTGCGTGGCTGTAAGAGCTGTGTGACAGTAAGTCTTGTGTGTAGCAGCTCAGAATTCACTGAACTGCAAGGGCTGTATTATTCGGGGAGAGGGAGGGTTTTTGTTTGTAATGGTTGGGGTTTTGGAGGGTTAGGGGCATTGTGGTTTGAGAAGCTTTGTCTTTTTTCTTTTTTACATAAATATTTACCAGTATCTCTGAAAGGATCGGTTATACATTCCCTGCTACAAATTTGCTTTTAGTCTAGATAAAGAAATAACACTTTTCAGAAAGACTGATTTCCTCTCTGCACTTGGAAATTTGTCCTTGCAATTTCCAAAATGCAAGATCACAAGTCAGTTGGATCAAAATAGTAGAGAAGGTGTTTTCACCTTGAATTGTTGGAAGAGGTTTGTCTCACTGTGAGTATCTGCACGGCCTTATTGCATGCAGGTAGCAAAAGAGGGAGTGTTTGAGTGAGAAATCTGTTTTTCTTTTGTCTGCTGCTGTTATTGCATTGCAGTCTTGTGAAAGGTCTCTATGGGACAATTACTGAACAGCTGGTGACCTGGTTTGATTTTTTTTTTTCTTTAAAGCACCTGGAAGACTCCGGTGAAAATTGGAGTGTGACAAGTTAGCAGAGGAAGGGAGTTGCTGTTTCCATTCCATGGATCCCTTGGGTGCTCCTTCCCAGTTTGTGGATGTTGATAGTCTGCCAGGCTGGAGTGATGCCTATGAGGCCAAGCAGCTGGATTGTCACCAAAGTCCCGTTGAAAAAGCTCAAGTTGATGTTAGATCACCTTTTCCATACAGGAAAGACATCAATGAAAAAATAATCTTGTGGTAAGTTCGATGTGGTTCTCGTGTGTCTGTCATCACTTCTCCATTTACTGCAGGATCCATATCTTCATGTAATGATCACTTCTGTAGAATAAAACTTCTAAATCCTCTTTTCTTGAATCAAAAATTACAGATCTGAGAATAACGTAATATTTTTGTTCACGGTAACTTTTAAAGTGTGGGATTTTGCTCCACCATAGGTTGTGCTCATAGGTAGTCCTTGATGCAGCAGACTGGAGCTGTACTTCCTACATACTGTGTGCTTAGTATCAAAATCTAGTTGGGCACTTGGATATGAGGGTTTTATTTAAACCTCATTCACCTTTATTTACCTTTTTACTGTAATTGCTAGTGTTATTCTGATTTCACTTTTCTGTTTTAAATCAGCATTTCTTTCTTTTCTGTGATTCTCATGGCTTGCTTTTGGCTCTTCCTACCCCTCCTTCCTCCATTCTGTGTTTTGTCTCCATGACTTTCTTCCAAAATCCATTGATAAAGTACAGTATGCTGTACTTACTCCATCAGTGTTCCTTTCCTGTAACTCAGATACTAAGGCTTCTCTTTAGATGAATAACACCTAACTTAATCAGTGTGAAGGGAGAAGGATTTCTCAGGGATGCAGATTCAGGGATCAGCCTGAACCTCTCTCTGGTTAATATATGCAGGAAATGGGACTCTTCATGCATTTCCTGAACTCAATTAAATAAAGAGAGGAGTAAAACAGAGTAAAGAAAGAGAGGAGTAAAAGGTTAAACATCTCTTATGGCTTGGGCAAATGTGTGCAATTTCAACTGTTAGTTTAGTTGCTCCCTGTGCGTGGGAATCTTTATTTCCCTTCCTACGCTCTTTGATCCCAAAATCCCAGATGGCTGCTGCTGTGACAAAAAGCAGGTCAAAGTTCTGCTACTCCATTGTCTCTTATGCATCTGTGACTTGTTTATCTTCTGCATGTCTGATCTTTGGACAGCAGAATGAACATGATGAACTTGAGGGTTCACCATTTGGGAGCAAAAAGAAGAGAACTTGTCCAGCTGCAGCATCACTCTAGACCCACAGTGGTCTGAGGAACAGCAGTTGTAAGGTGCCATGGATAGTCTGTCTGCAAAAAAAAAAGGAAGTACATTGAAAAAGTTGTTTAAGTTTTGAAAATAATATAACACAAGGACCGTCCTCTTATCCCCAAGAGAAAATATGTGGGTTTTTGGAAGTGTTGCACGCCATCAGTTTAACAAGCTGCTTTGCATGTTTGCTGCCTGAGCTGCCCTACATACAGCTACAACAACACTGCCTTTCTACAAACATCCCCAGTTACTGCTGGGGCTGGGACTCTTGGGGGGCTGAGTTTTGCAAGCAGTCTGTCTCCATCAGGGAGAGGCCAGAGCTAATTCGGCTTGGTGAGCACGTCAGGGTGCACTGTGCTGTGTGGGCACTGGAGTCCTGTTAATGCCTTTCCTGGAACTTGGCATTTCTTGCTTGTCAGCACTGATTTGAGAATATCCTGCTCAGTTGTACATTCAGGCTGCAATGAACTGTTTCCTCAGGAAAGGAGATGTGGCGTTACTGAACTGCACGGCCATCGTCAACACTAGCAATGAGACTCTCACGGATAAGAACCCTGTGTCTGAAAGTATATTCATGCATGCTGGGCCTGACCTGAAGGATGAGCTCCAGAAGCTCAAAGGTAAGTGACCAGAGACATTTTTATCTTATTGAAATCTCCTGTCCTTGCATAGTGCAAAACATCAGGATTGGGGCACAAACAGAAAAGGTAGAGCTTTTCCCAGCCCCCAACAGCTGATAGTAACATGAAAAAAATGGGGGAAACACCTGCCAGTCCAGTCTCTTTTTGCTGCTCACATTACAGATAATTGAAAGTCTGTGGCACATATTTGATTTTATGAGCCCTTACTTTGTGATACAGTAATTCCCATTGCTATCTGAAGCCACTTTGAGCAGTTAGCTTATCAGAGCTTTTGCTCAAGGGAGCAGTCTTGCACATCTTGAGATTTTAGCCTGTTCACTGTGTATACATAATGAAAGACAGAAACTGAAGTTCACCATTGAAGAAATTAAGTGGATTACGCCATGCACTTTGTGTATCCTCTTTCTTTCAGGATATTAATATACACGCAGCCTTTCAGAAAGATATAATAATAATAGATGGATTGATAAAACACTACATGGCTAAATAAAGTCTTTGTGACTTCTTAAGTTGGTTGGTTCATTTGTCTCTTGTGTACAACAAATGACTTTATTGGAAAGCTACAAGAGCAGCCTTAATGCAAGGCTGTTCTAGAAATTGATGAGGTTTTCCTAGAGTCTTTATTAACAGAGTTTATTGCTGATAATGGGAGATGAATACTCAGCCTTTTTTTTTCATCTAACAGGCACTGGGAATAATAGTTTCCTTATTTTGTGTGTGACAAACAAAAGTTTATAGTTATCCAAGGTCACACAGAAGTCTAATATGGTTTACAGATTAAAATTCACATCTCTAGGAACTATGGTACTGAACTGAATTTTGTGGTCTCTGTGTGGTACTGCTCACTCTGAATAACAGCTTGGTCTCCCTACATAGTAACAAAATGGATATAGGAGAGCCATATTTCTAATATAAACTCTCAGGAGCTTAAATTGCAATTGAATAGAAGTCCTGTTTCTATAAAATCATCCTTTGCTTGCTTTTTTTGAGTAACCTAAAAATTAAACAGAAGGAAGAGTAGCCATTTTATAACAGAGCAAAAAGTCAGTGTGTGCTGTGGGTGGAAATTAAAATACCATAGGTGCTCTAGAATAGTTAGGGCCCCACATTATACGCAAAACTCTTCTAAAATACACTTGGGTTTCTTGTGTGGACTGAGAGGTGGGAAGAGAGGGCCTGCATTTCAAGGAGTCTAAAGTCTGAGATCTGTCAGCTCTGTAGGGAGCTGTTGTGCTCAGCTTCTTAAATTCCCTTTTACCCTGCTGAGTTATGCGTAGTTTTGCGTCTTCTACCACAGTGAAAACACTGTGTCTTCTCCCTGTAATGCATTCTGCAGGTTCACAACTCCCTATGAAGACACTTCTCTTTTAATCTTGTGCCAAGAGTTTTATGGAAATCAGTTCTTCTGTGACACCCTACTGACATGTTGTGTGGGGGAGGAAAGAGAGGCTGGGTTACAGATTTGGCATTTAAGCACCCATAGTGTGTTTGTCACAGTAGCAGAAGTAGAGGGAGAGCTTAGTTAAAAAATCAGTTTAGGATTCATTTGTCATCTCTGCTTCCTTTTTTGCCCTCTTTCCCACTTAGCCTTGACATTTTTTCATTGGAGAATGTGCTGAAAAAGGGAAAATGCATGGTCTATGTTCTGAAGCTGTAAAATATATTTTCAGTTAAGTCTCTCCTGCTTTATTCCTGCTGCTTGGTATATATTCACATTTCATAGATTCCAAGAAAAATCATGACCTGAAAGCATGTGACATGCTGACTCTTCAAAGGCCTGTGCCTTCTTTAAGGCTCAGCTAACTTGTACGTTCCTGGGAGCAGAATGAGTTTTGGTTAATGCAGAAATACTACAGCCAGGGGCAGGCTTGCAGATGAAGTGCTATTGATAGAAGCTTGCTTATCAACAAATACATGTTGCAGTCTAATAAAGACCTTTTGTGGCACTTACAGCTCTGGTGATGCTTTTTCTCTGCCACACACATGATGTAGACAATTTAGACTTTCCATTTTAAACTTGAGAAAGCTATTCTAAAAGCTGAAATCTTATCAGATAAAAAATAGGATCTTGACTTTGTTCCCAGTTTTGCCACAGACCTTGACTTGTGCAGCTCCCCTCATCTTGTAACTTAAAATAAGAGTAATATATACTGCTCATTTTGGTTTTATAAGTTGTATAGACATCTCCAGGCAGAATGCCTTGGGAAGTGATCTGAGTATAGCTAAAGTTTACCAATGCTACATCTGCTTCCCTGAATTTATTGGTTTCCCTACTGAATTCACAAGTATTCCTCAATCAAACTGGCCTTCATTGTTTTTTCACAAGTTTTTCCTACAGGCCTTTGCTTGCTCCTCGCTGGTTGTGAGGGGACTGCAGAGGAAGAAAAGTAACTTAGTATCTGATACATTGTTTTGGATTTGGCTTTCCTTTTTCCATATTGTGCTTATTTAATCACTCTCTTGAGCTGTCTTAGAGGCTGTGCAGGAATTCAGAAGAGTATGCTTAGTTTTAGTATGGTGTTTTCTTCCTTCTGATTAACCCAGAAGAAGCACAGTGGAGGTCTATAGAAGCTAATGATGTGATTTGTTGGATCAAAAATGTTACAAGATGCGGGCTTCAAGACAGCAGCGTGGTTGCCATTAAAAAGATACTCTTGAAGTTTTGGATGAGGAAGATTCTCAACCTGGAGTGTCTCTTCCCATAAAATACGTTTTCATGCATGTTGCTAGCTTGCCTGAGCACTCTGAGGAAAGAGTGGAGTGGGAGAGATGAACATTAACCTGTTCAGTGGGCAGCTTAAGCCAAGCTGCTGCAGCACTGCTGCCTGAACGCTGCCTGCAGCTGCTTCTTCTGGCTCATTCCCTGTTGTGGCCACCAGCAACTTAAAAGGCAATCAGGATGAGAGCTAATCTAGTGAAAATGCTGGTTTTCAGTCAGATCGGAAAGCTGGAGTGCAGCAGTACAAGCAGAAGGAAGCAGGTTGGAAAACACTTGTCTTTGAGGGTAGGGAAAGAGAGAGGCTAGAAGTACTTCTTCAGCTGTCCAGACCTGGAGTGTACTAGATTTAGGTGAAGAAGGGAAAGTTTAGCAGACTTTTCTTCTGTATGCTAAAGGAAAACCAGACATCAAACACAGAATCTGTCCCTAGAGTGTATAACTGGAGGGTGCTGTGAATGGAACAATTACATGGATTGCTTGAACTTCCTTTCCTTGAGACTAGACAACTGGTCTGTCCAGAGAGTTTGAGCTGCATGAGGATCATATGTCTGCCTTGTGGACATGAAGAAACATGCTAAACAAAGCAAGCTACCTCATTCTGAGAGCATAAATTAAACAAATGTATTATCTATTCAGTTTTAATAGCTTTGCCAACAACTGGTTTATTTGATTCAGGAGACTTGTGGTCACTTTATCCACAAATCAGTCTCCTCAAACCAATTTTATTGCTGTATGGTATACTTGTGCATCTGTTCTCTGCACATTACTAAATCATTTCTTCCTTTGCTCTGTAAGTAGTGTAGTAAGCACTGCAATTAAGACAGAATTTGTAGCAGTATCTCGTAAGTCCTTATACACATAGTTTTAAAATTTAAAATTGAGAGGAATTTAAAATTGAGAGGAATTTAAAATTAAAATTTTAAATTTAAATTTTAAAATTGAGAGGAACAAGCACAGTTCTCACTTCCTCAGCCTGACTAGGTGCTAAGCAGCTGGTATGAGTTCGGATGTTACCCTTAATATTTGATGTCTAGAACACTGACTTCTGTGTATGAAGTGGAGTTGTCTGACTGGAGGAAGACAAGGGCTGGAACACTTGTGCCTTTCTTGCCATGGCATGTGCACTCACCCTGCTGTTCTGTTGGTGGCAGGCTGCAGGACAGGCGAGGCCAAGCTGACGAAGGGGTTTAACCTGGCAGCGCGTTTCATCATCCACACGGTGGGCCCCAAGTACAAGAGCCGGTACCGCACGGCGGCCGAGAGCTCCCTGTACAGCTGCTACCGCAACGTCCTGCAGCTCGCCAAGTAAGCACTGCACTGCACAGCACAGCCCACACCGGGCTCCAGCTGGGACACACAGCCTGGAAACCCGGCTCTGCACAAAGATCTCACCTCTGAGAGCGTCTTCTCGTGTTTGCTGGGTCTGGTTAAGGACATGAAAACAGGAGTGGCTTCACCGTGTGCTTCGTGCTTTGCTTATCTCTGCTGTGGTGTAGGGAAAATGCACAGAGAGATCTGAGCTGGTTCAAGCCCTGAAACGGGGTAGCTGGATCTGTGCAGCATTCGGTTCTTCAAAGGAGAAACATTAATAATTGCTTTGGGTTCGGTGCTGGAGCTTGCTCCAGCAGCAGCTCCATGTGTGTCTGCAGCCATGGGGACACACCCACAGGCAGATCTGACTGCTGTGTCTGTGTGTTTGGCTTCTCTGCCCTTGTGCAACAGGCAGCTAAAATTCCGAGTTAGGTTATAAGGTTACTTTTAAATCTACAGTTGCAGGATCTAGGTTTGTAGTTTTTTCCCCTTCCGTCTGCGGTATTTTCTACTTCCTCTTAACTAAGAGGGGTTTTCTTCCTATTTTTCTGTGTTCTGTTCTTCTCCTGTGGCAGCTGTTGTAGTGGTAGCAGTCACAAAATACACCTGAGGAAGAGCAGTGTCAGAAAGCATACCTAACAATTTTTTAGGGTTGGGAAGATCAATTCTTCCAAGGTTGGACTTTGTGTTGCAGTGCAATATTTGTGGTGGTGTTCGCAGGGGTCCCAGGATGAGGGAAGAGATGAGGATCTGACTCCATGTTTCAGAAGGCTGATTTATTCTTTTATGATATATATTATATTAAAAGAAAATGATGTATTAAAACTATACTAAAAGAATAGAAGAAAGGATTTCATCAGAAGGCTAGGAAGGAATAGAAAAGAAAAGAATGATAATAAAATCTTGTGACTGACCAGAGAGTCTGAGCCAGCTCACAGTGATTGGCCATTAATTAAAAACAACCACATGAGACCAATCAAAGATCCACTTGTTGCATTCCACAGCAGCAGATAATTATTGTTTACATTTTGTTCCTGAGCCTCGCAGCTTCTCAGGAGAAAAGATCCTAATGAAAGGATTTTTCATAAAATATGTCTGTGACCCAATAGTAACTGTTTCAAGCTCAAGATTACAGCTATGATTTTTAGCGTGTGCCAGTTCTGTTCTGCCTCAGAAGTTACTAGCAAATTCAGGCCTGGATTGAAACATGTTAAAAACTATGTTAAAATTCTTATACTTCTGCATGCTGAGTGTCTTTCAGTCAATCTGTTTTCCAGAGTAACTTTTGATGCTTGTGAAATTGTCTACCATCTTTGAGCTTGCTCAAACTCCTTTGATTACTGTTTGCAACAGCTCTGCTTTACTCTTTTGAAAATATGGCTCGGTGCTGGAATCATCTTACTGGTTCTAAAGTGTGTGTCACTCCATTCTGGTGGTTGTCTAATCATACTTAAGATGGAGTAAGCCACATTGGCCTGTGTCCAGACCTCTAACAAAACAAAATCATTGGTCAGGTGAAGAAACAGGAGTGTGTATGTATTGAAAAGCACCTTCTTTTTCCCTCCTTCTCCTTACTGTCAGTCCTAAACAGGAACAAAAGTATTTTGAGCAAGGATTGCAGGGAGTTGGAGGGAAGAACTTAATTCAGGATATGAGGAACTGTAGGAACAGCATAACTGAGGTGGAAGGAGAAATCTGAAAATGAGCACCAGAGGAACCAGTGGGGAATAATTAATGGTTCTTTCCATCTCTGTTTAATGAGGGTGTGTGCATCTTGCCAGGGAAGAATCCTCCTGCAAAAACCTGAAAGAGGATTACTGCTGTTTAGAGCCAGAAAAGAAATTAATGGTGCTCCCTACTGCCCTGACAGACTTCTGTTTGCAGCTGGCTGTCTATTCATTTGTTTCTCTTTTTCTGGATTCCAGGGAACAGGCAATGTGCTCCGTAGGATTTTGTGTCATTAATACTCTGAAAAGATGCTACCCCTTGGAGGATGCAACCCACATAGCGCTGCGTAAGTGTGTTGGAAAACAGCACAAACTGGGTGGCAGCAGGTCACTTACCTCTGACAGACTGCTCTTGAAATGGAGAAACCTTTTTTAGGGGTCTGTGGTTCATTAGGGCCTGTAAAAAGACAAGGCATTCCATGGCTGATCAGAAAATGGAAGATAAAAACAAATTATCCTTTTTCTCAGTAAAGATTCCTGGGATTTCATCAGTAAAGATCCATGGGAATCTGTTCTGGAACTTATATTTTTCAATGCATTAATTTATAATCTGGAAAAGATGCTAAACATTAGGCAACAGAGGTTGCTGGTAATAAAAGTTTGTTCAGAAGAGCCAAGATGAGGCCTTACTGTTAAATACTTGTAGGCAGATTAGAGCAACAGTGAATTTCATCTGCTGTTTTAGTGTCATCAGCACATCCAAATGTAAAGTGATATCCTTCCCCCACTGACCCACTCCTACAGGCTTCTGCCTTCACATGCAAAATGATGGGCTGATTATAGGCAGCAAAACATTGAGATGATAATACTTCCATGAAAAACAGCAAGCTGAGTAAGACACAACAAAATTAAGAATGTTTTGCAATCAATCAGTGCTTTGTTCACCCTTTAAAGCTGCAGAGTCAGAAATAATACAGTAGACAGAAAAGTTTAGGAGGTCAACAAGAAAAGAAAAAAGCAAGAAATAGTGAAATGAGCTCAAGGCTTTTTCAGACTGGAATATACCTGACTTGAGGGGGAGTGTGATAGATGTCTGTAAACTCATGAGTGGCATGGGAATGGTGAAAAGAATCAGCTGTTCACTGTCCCCAGAATAAGAGCCATCAAATATGCCAGTTCAGAACAATCAAAGAGAAATGGTTCTTATGCTTGTTATTTGTTTTATGGAAATTCTTACTAAGAAGCATTGCTAAAACTTTTCAAATTGCCTTGTTCTTGAGAGGAAACTATATTAAGGGAAAAATGAAGATCACTGAAAACAAATCAGAAAACATCCTAGGCTGAAAATATAGAAAAGTGCTCAAACAAGAATATTATATACTCTTGTATATGCTGGTTCCTATTTTCCCCCATCTCTTCTGGCTTTTTCACATGTTCAGATGCATTCAGAACTGTTTGCTGTGAAACTGCACAAATCATTTGTTGTGTAATGTCGCAGGTCAACATGATTACACAGGAATTTGTGTACAGTAGTACACAGGAAGTATTTGAAAATAGCTCCTTTTTCCCCCTCTGCTGTTTCTTGAGCTCCCAAAAAACATTCTCTGTAAATAACTTCTTTTATTGCTATCTTCTGTTGTCTCTGTAAGTCTGTGTGATAATTGATAAAATACTCCCGTACCAACGAATTTGTTTGGACACTTTCTCTCATGATTTACAAATAGAAATTTTATATATTTTTGGCATAGCTGACCCCAGAGGTTTTGTGTTGCTGACCCTGCCTTGAACCAGCTTCTGCTGTAGCTTCCTTATATTGCTTTGCTGATAACTTTAGGCACAGTGGCTTGTTTTAAGAATGCCTGGTTTTAGCAGTTTGCACAGGACTCCAAAGGAAGGATTTGGCTTGATTTTTCAAGGCCTTTGAACCACATTTCACAGTCTAAGGAATGCCTAGTAAGCTAAATTGAGAGAGATTCATTCTGTATTTGTGTGTCTCTAAAGTCAGCATCAGGAGAGAGTGGAGATGGTACTTCCAATATGGCAAGCCACCCATTTGGTTTGTTAAATGACCACTTAATCCACTCCATTGCCTACAGCCTATGGAGCTGTTTAGTATGAGGAGAGATGTATGAGATGTATCTCTTGTCTACACTGTGAGTTCTTCACTTGTAGCTGTGTGTGTAGATTTCTCCTTCTGTTTTGCTAACTACCTTTAATCTGCTTCCTTGCAGGCACAGTTAGGAGGTTTCTGGAGGTTCATGGAGAGACTCTGGAGAAGGTGGTGTTTGCTGTCTCTGAGCTTGAAGAGGTATCTTGGCATTCATTCCACCAAAATTCCTGGGCATGACTGATCTTCTGTGCAGCAGTAAACCTGGATTTGGATTTCCCCTTCAGATCACATAGACTTTTGGTCTTGCAGCATTCTTCTGCCTCCTTCTTAGCATAGCCCCTCTTCCAGAACTCTTCATGCTCTTAGCAGTCACTATGGACACTTGAGAATCTTTCTGCTTCTGTCTTCTGTGTTGCTGAGCTGTGGACAGGGAGCAGTAGGGGAGGTGATAGCATGCAATTGTGCTGGATGTTATCTGTTAGCCAGAAAGGAAGTTCCTCACACAAAGTTTCCTCCTTACACAAAGATCTGCTTGAAGAGGGCCATTTCAGGTTCCCTACAGATCACCAACAAACATCTGAAATGCAGCCTGCTGGCTTGTTGGAATAGCAAACTTGACATTTAATGATCTGTGTTCTGAGAGATGCAGGCAATCTGAATATTGACTTTCCTTGTACATCAAACTTCTTTCTGAGCAGAACACCCATGCTGTGCTCAGGTTCTATGGTATATGGATAAGGAAAATAACTAATTCATTGGGGGTCATAAAACTGCTGATCAGTTGAGAGAACCCCATGAAGTAATACATTCTGTAGAGATTTTCACTATTTTCCTTCACGTGGCGGGGAATTTTCTTGTTTGGCTGGTGCTTTTTCTTTTCTCCCAGGCAGATCACTAAAGGTGGTCTACATAGTGGTACATTTTAGCATAAGCAACATTTGCTCAAAAATCTGTTGTCTGTGCATATTTTAACTTCATTACAAAGCTAAAGTATCTGCAATCTACCTGAATTCGTGCAGGTTTTAGCAAAGTCCTCTCAAAGTCATTTGCCAGTGTGGCAAAAAAACCCAAAAAGTTAACCTTTATCAAGATTACCTGATAAAGTACTCCCAGCCCAAATTAAGCATTGAGGGAGGCAGTACTATGCCTCCAAGCTGCTGACAAGTTCCCTGCTACAAAGGCAGACACCGTTTAAGTGAAGAGCACGGATGTGTGATAGACCCTTCATGCATTTTTGTTATTTGTAGGCCACTTACCAGAAGTTGCTGCCTCTGTACTTCCCGAGGTCGTTGGAAGAAGAGGTGCAGTCCCTGCCTTACCTCCCTGCAGACATTGGCAATGCAGAAGGGGAGCCAGTAGTACCGGAGAGGCAGATCAGGATCACTGAAAAGCCAGGTGTTCCAGATGGTGAGTGTGGAGCTGGACTTGGGAATAAGTGTCTCTCTGGGAAAGTCAGTGGGAAAAAACAGAAAAGGAAGGAGAGAAATGTTTTCCTACCTCAATTCACCTAAGTCAGGTTACAATGATTCCAGTTCTCAAGCTGCCTCGTTGGCTTCTTGTGTTCCCCAGCAGTAACTGCAGTAGAGCTGTTCTGTCTTTTCCTTTCTTGGTGGAACAGGTGGGGGATTCATTCCCTTTGTAAATTTTCCCCAAAGTTATTAGGAACTTTGAAGGTGTTCTTGCAGAATCTGGTGCAACCCCTAATTGAAAAAGGTATTATGGTTAATGGTCTGTCTTGTGTATTAGCAAAGTGTTATGTATTAGCAAGTGTTGTCTCAAATGATACAATTGTATTGATACAGCAGGGATACAGTGCATCCATCTAGTAAATGGGCAATGAAAACTAGCAGAAACTCCCTAAAACATATAAAATAACTAGAGGAACCCAGAGAACAGTACTTGGAGGTGGCTATCAAAGTTCAGTGAAAGTCTCTTTGTAAAGAGGTTGCCTAGATGTCAGGGTGGAGGTGAGATACGTGTAGCAAAACAATTTAATATATTAACTGACAGACACATTCTGCCTTACTTGTTGAGCAGTGATGTGCAAGTTTTAGAGCCTTAAACCATCCAAAGCAGATAACTGGGAATTAATTTCAATTTTCTGCTTTTGCATAGCCATTTGGGATATGAATATTTGATATTTGCTGCTGTGGCTGATCACAGTGTGATCAGTGTGAGGTATTCAACCACTAGCTAATAATTTGTGAAATTACTGGATTTGCATAGTTGTATAGAGGAGTCCTGCACTCTTGTTCCATTGCTACTATAGCATGTAATGCTAAAAGGGGAAACTCAGTTCCTGTCTAGATTGCCCAGAGAGACAATGCTAGAAGTCTTAGCAACATGCCTGGGTGACATCAATTCAGTGGAGCATTCTGGTATTGTCACCAGGAATTGAGCCTGTGCTCTTCTATTTCATCACCCAATTGTGTTGTAAACAATACTATGAAAATAGCTACACTCAGATCACTACAGCATTTGTTCAGGAAGTGTCAGTGATACAAGAAATGGGCCCTTTCTACATTACAGCTTCTAAATTTAATAATTTAAATTTAGCTGCAGCATCTGTGCCTCTGGGCACTAATTTTTCCCTTTTTGAGAAGTAGGATGATTGTAAAGCTCAAGTAAAGCTGAAGCACTCTCTCCAGAACTTGTTTTTTGGGAAAGTAAACCCTTTGTTATCACTGATTACTAGACTTCCCAGTTAGTTTCCAGGCAAACCAGCACTTTAAGGCAGTGGTTCTCAATCACTGCTGTGATCTGCCAGTGGTACTGGTGAGGTGTCAGAGCCACATCAGGTACCTCGGGGGCTTTGTGTTAGTCTGTAGCACAATGACTGTGTTGTTTCACTGGGACATGTACCAATTCATCAGCAGCATTGCTGTCCTGTGCACAGCCCAAACATTTGATGCCATCTTTGTTTCCACTGCAGATGCTTCAGATGAAGAGGGTCTGGAGGCAGATCTGTCTTTCATTGGGTCCCATGCTTTTGCCCGCATGGAGGGGGACGTTGATAAACAGAGGCGCCTCATCCTTCAGGGACAGTTGTCAGAGGCAGCTCTGCAGAAACAGCACCAGAGGAAGTGAGAATTTGCTTGTTCATGTGAATATTTGTGTTAGTTAGGACCAACCCTTATGAATGATAGCTTTGTTTATCTGCAAAGCCTCATCTTCCAGCAAGCAAATACAGGTAAAGCCTGGTGTCACCCTGGATTGATGTAGTAGCCTCTTTGGCCTGAAGGGAGAAGGGATGGGGCAGTAAGAGAAAGAGGGAAGCTTGTGATGAACCCTTTAGCACACCCAATGCATCCAGCCAGCTGCCTTACCTGTTTGCCACAAGATGTCACTGTTTTGTCACCACTTTTAGTAGTGGGATCATCTGCTTTTGATACTGCCCACTTGTTCCTGAGGCTCTGCGCAGATAGCAAAACACTTTTCTTCCATTTGATAAATAAAAGAAGGCTCAGGCTTTCTCCCCCTCCCTGCCCTGGTAACCTTAATGTGCATGATCACTTCTCTAGAAGGTAATTCCATGCTGGACACCTCTCAAGGCTCAGTGTTGGCTTGTTTTGTCAGATGAGGCACTAAGTTGTTAGTGAAACTGGTTGTTGCATAGTTGTCTTCAACATCTAGGCTTTTAAAGGAAATTTTCTTTTTTTTCCTGTCTTTTAAATACTGACATATTTAGATGGAAAAACCTCTGAGATATTTTCAGCCCAAATGCAATGCCTCTACAGTTACCAGTTGATATATATTAATATGTATTAATTGCCCAAGTGAAAATCATTAGGTATGCAACTAAAACACTAAATTATATTCTTTAACACTTCTTTCTTTAAAAACTTTATAGTTGTTCCATAGGTCAGAAAACAGCAACCTCAGAGAGGGCTCAGTCAGAAAAAGCTTGTTTGTCCTTCCCTTCCCATATACCTCTTCAGGCTTATACTGCTAATCCAAAGGGGGATTAGATCTGACCAGATGTTTTTGACTTTCTAGTTATAATCGCTGGCTGTGTCAGGCAAGAGCTGAAGACCTCTCTGACATTGCTTCCCTTAAAGCTTTGTACCAGACAGGTAAGTTTGGGGTACTGATGACTGACCTATGAAATAAAATTATTTTCTTTGGACTTGCCTATACAATAGGTCATGTTGGAAGCATAGCTGTGTTTCTGGAGAGAATCTGTTCAGCACTTTGGCTATCTGTTAGGCCTCATGAAAATCCAGAGCTTACCTCTATCTTTGTGTAAATACCGAGGTTGTGTGATGCCTTCTGCTCAGTAGCTGCAAATTTCAATTCTTTTGTTTGCCTTAGACAAGGCTCTGTGAGCTGCAGGAGGTCCATGAGGCATGCTCTGGGAATCTGTGCATTGGAGTTCAGAGCCTGGTTTCTACGAAACATTTTGCTTTGGTGGTAGAATTGCAAGTGAAGTGAACATAAAAACCATGTTATTATTTGATATTTAAGTAAATATAGAGTACACAGGCAACATAAAATTGCAGTCCTTAAATTTCTCAGATACATGGGTTTTTTAATCAGAATAGGTACTGTTATAGTGAGAGCAGTAACTAATCATATTTCCTCTGCTGGAAACCAGATGCATTGCAAAAGTTGTGAGCTGAGGCTCTTTCTCCCTGGATTGAAAGGGCCCAGCTACAAAACCTGGCATGGCTGAGAGAAGTTGAGACATCTTTATTTCTTTTGTAGGTGTAGATAACTGTGGCCGCACTGTGATGGTGGTGGTTGGAAGGAATATCCCTGTGACATTGATAGACATGGAGAAGGTAAGGCTCTGTAAAACTAGAGTTGTGTAGGTTACATATGAATGTTTTGGATGGAAAAGTCTGATTGTAAGGGTAATTCAGCTTTAATGCTGGAAACATCATTTGTAGGACTTAAGATGTTAACTGGAAAGTATTTATATAGGCAGATGAAAATGTAAACCCTTAGAGAGCTATGTGTGCATTGGGCTGACACATTTTAATTAGGCAATTTTTAGAAAAAACAGGGCTAGTATGAACTCCTTTTTCTTCTCAAGAAGAAGGAGAGTTACCATGCTTCTATAACTGCCAAGATGTAAAGAGTGAAACATAATGAGTTAAATGTAGTTTTTCAGGGAAATAGCAAGAATGTATCTCCATCTGTGAGGTCAGATAGACAAAAGACTTCCAAGTTATTACAGTCAGGTTGAAGACTTGGAATGTTGGCCTTGCTTTTGTAGCTGAAATGCAATGCCATCCAGGCTCATGATTCCTGATTTTTAGATGAAATAGGAGAAGTATATTAAGATGTAGTGCAACTGTGAAAGAGTTCTTTGCAAATATAAATTTTGTTTCTTTCTGCCTCAGGCTCTTCTGTATTTCATCCATGTCATGGATCATATTGCAGTGAAGGAATATGTCTTGGTGTACTTCCATACACTCACAAATGATTACAATCAACTAGACTCAAACTTCCTGAAGAAACTCTATGATGTTGTTGATGCCAAGTGAGTGTCAATAGAAAAGAACATGTTCCAGTCTTCCTCTGTGCTATGCAAATATTTGTCATTCCCTGTATCTGATTTCCCATTTATTTCTGAGAGAGTTTGGCTGGGACAAAGACCCAAATAACTAACAAAGGCAAGAAGAAGGAAGAGGTGTTTTCTTTCCTTTTCAAGTCCATCTTTTTAACCAGAAGTTCTGTCCTCTGCAGTCTCCCTCTGGAGCTCTTAGGGAGGCACTCTGCTTGTTTTGTCTGTCACAATCCAGAGCTGGAGCTTTTGGAGCCTGGCCTTGTTAAAGTGTGTTCCTGGTTGTGAGAGGAGAGGTTTGGGTAACAGTGGCAGTCAAAATTTGTCCTTAACTTTCTTTCACTTCCTACTTGAAAGACTGAAGGCTGTCATGTCTTTAACTGAAAAGTAACCATTCTGCTTTTTAAAAAAAAAATTTCTTTTCCCTTTACATTTGCTTTTTGGTGTCTGCCCTTACATGAGATCTAACTTTATAAAATTACATCACAGACACTTAAGAAAAATGGTCTCTTTTGACAGTTATTTTGTGTAGATGACTTTAGTTAGAATTCACTTTTAAATTTTTTTTTCCTTCTCTAAACCAGGTACAAGAGGAACTTGAAGGCATTGTATTTTGTCCACCCAACATTTCGTTCAAAGGTAAGGTAAATCTTCCAAAAGAAAAATGTATCTTGCATGTTGGTGGAGTAGCACTTAAGCCTGTAGCATGGAGAACATGGAGATGTACAGAAGATTCCCAAAATTAGGCAGTATCTTCTGGATCCACTGTTAGAACTTGAAATTCATCCCATCTTTGGTCTGGCTGCAGTCTTCCAGCCTTTGTGATAGCTGAACCCCAGTGCTGTGCACGCTGTCTGTGCTCTTACCAGAGAGAGGTGGAAGCTTTGAATTGTGTCTCTTCAAAAGGGAAACATCTTGTCATTTTTCCTGCTGGCAGGGTCACAAACCATGACCAAACACTCAGGGAATTCTTTTTAGTGTAGTTCATCTCCTAGCAGTTTCACCTTTTCTTTCACCACAAGAGGTACCACGTGTGTCCTGTGTGTCACTTCAGAGCTGCCCTGGGAGGGGCAGAGAGCAGTCTCAGGCAGCAGTGGGATTAGTCAGGGTTACAGTGGAGAGCAGCAAAGAAAGGTGAGAAGAATGCCTTTGATGGAGTGCAGAAAAAATCCTGTTAATCCATCAGGAGACAAAAAAACTGAACTTGTCATGCACTAAGCTATTACCCTTGGCTGGGATCTGTGTGGGGCAACAGAAGATGGAGCTGGTTCCCTTCTGGACCTCACATCCACTACTCCTAGTGCAGCAGTATGAGTACTTCAGGTTGACTAAGTGGCAGCAGCAGCCCTTCCTAGAATTTTTGTTTGTCCAGTTAAAACAGAAATCTGATCCTCCATGTTCACATCAGATTAACCTCTGTGTTTATTCTGCTTTTTGCTGACATTAATCAAATCTGAGAAAATTATATGCCTGGAAAAACACATCTGTTTGCACATGTTCAGCAAGAATTTATTTGACTGCTAAATTTCCAAAGAGTCTTTTTTTTTGCCTGTGCACAGCTGGGACACCATGAGACTTGGAGCTTCCTTGTTTTTATGGAGATAAGACTGAGGCATCCCAGCAGTGTAGGTTCCAGTTTCTGTTAGGTTATTTGTTACTCTCGCAGGATACAGATCAGAGGTCTGTGTCCTAGAATTAGACCTTCCAGCTCTGATGCTCATAAAAATGTAGAAGCTGGCACAGAGCATTACTAAGGTCACAGAGTTGAGTGGAAAAGCTGAACCTAGGAAGTACTAGTGTTTTAGATTCTCAGCAGCACTTCACCCCCCCTTCTCTCTTCCCATGCCTTTCTATTTAGTTGAGAAATATTTTTCTTGTTGTTGGAGGATGACAACTCATCCTCACTGGTGTCTGTTGCCATCTTGTCTGTCCCTTTGGAAACTGCAGTGGGACTCAGCAGATCTGTAGGCAAAACAGATGGTTGGTGGGAAGCAGGGAGGGTGAGAGACACAGAGTTCTCTAACTTGCTGGAAATAGTATTGGTTTGTATCCTATTCTGGCAGCACAGCTGGAGGTAAAAGAGAATGTGTATCCATGTCTTTCTGACAGTCTTTTCTATAACTGGAAGGCAAGCAGGATTGCTTCTGACTGTTGCATGGACAATCAGCTTATGCAACATGATGGGGAATATGCAGCAGAAAGCATGGTGAAGAAGATGGCTGCTAAGAGGGAATGATTTTTCTCTCCTCCTTTTTTTTTGGCTCTTTCAGGACTCTTGTCCCCATTGAAGATTGCTAGCTCAAAAGCTTCAAATTTCTTCCAAAATGTTTGGCACATTCATCTTCCTATTTGGATTCCTTCCTTCCTTCCTTCCTTCCTTCCTTTCCTTCCTTCCTTTCCTTCCTTCCTTTCCTTCCTTCCTTTCCTTCCTTCCTTCCCTCCCTCCCTCCCTCCCTCCAAGTAGTAGGAAATATCCCATGCCTCACATTCAGGAGGAAGTTCTGTACATTCACATGACTTCCCAAACACATCACCCTCATACACAGATCTTAAATGTCTGGTATAAATTGTCCCTTTCACAGCAGGGCTGAATCCTGGCACAGTGGATGGCTGCCATCTGTTAGAGTCACTTCTGCTGATTTATGGGCTAAAAGGGATCAAAAGGCTTTTCATCATGTCTTCTGGAAAATCATGTCCTTAGAAAACCAGCAGAGTTCTCCATGTACTTTATGGTGCCAACAATGATTCTTTGTTTGGTTTCTAGGTGTGAACCTGTTGTAAACTGTGCGGTTCTGAGGGTAATGGCCTGTCCAGAATACATGGAGGGAAGGTTCAGCAGTTGTCCTAAAGCACAGAGGAAATGAAGCAGGGTGAGCCACTGTGCACACATTTCTGTACAGTGCTCCTGCCTTTCCTCATGCTTTGATTGTTCCTGTGATCTGTGAAATGGAGCTGTGCTTGTCATGAAATCACAGCATAGATGTCAGCAGTTTTGTAGGTTGGAGTGGCTCTTGCTGCATGAGCACTCTGCTGCGAGGCCTCAGATCAAGGCACCCATGAAGTGCCATCACAAGTTCCTTTGTACTCATGCATCCCAAATTCCTCCTACTTGGTTTTGATAAAGCTGCTGATAGATAAATAAAGGGCTTTTGGAGGCATTTTTATGTGAATCCTCTCAGCTCCTCTCTTCTGAGAGCTCTCCAAATAAACTTTTTCAGAGCTTGCATTCTGAACTGAACTATAAATTGCTGGATCTGAAACAGTCTCAGCCAGAGTAATTCTGTTTTCATTACTGGCTGTGAATCAAGAATGTTTCACAGCTGAAACATACCCAAAGACTCAAATTAGATACTCATAATCATCACACTCTTTGTATTTATCATGAACAATTTTTGGTTTGTTTTTCTGTAATGGTCCTAAAAGCAGTTTCTTGAGATCAGACGTCGGTGGAAGGGTTGCTGCAAATCACTTAGGTTTTCTCTACACAACCTCCTTCCAATTGGAATAAAATTTCCCAGGTTTTAGTAAATTTCTCTTTGTGGTATGCCCAAATTATGAGATTAGAGACACAGCTAATCTGTGTTACTGGCTTTTTGTGGGAGACACCTCATACATTTAACTGTGGGTTTATAGCTTGGCAGAGTGATTCTGACAGCCTTCTATTTAGATTCAGAATATCAGGAGAAGAAAAATGAAGGGAAACTTCAGCACATGTCTTCTTGATTTTTAACTTTCTTTGGCTGCTCTGGTACAACTTCCTCTACTTTCAGTGCATTAAAAGTTTAATTTAATTTAAAGTTCCATGTCCTGTTACCAGTAAGAAAATAGAGCTGCCCTTGTATTACTGTTTCTATAACCTGTGATTATCAAGAATAGAGGTAATAGAAAAATTCTCCAGAAATATTTCTGCCCCTCTCCCTTCTCTCTGTGCTCCTGAGTAATGCCAAGCTGCAGTGGCTTGTATAGTGAGAGGAAGGAGGGGAAAAAGGAAAAACACTTTTCCCAACAGCAGTTTTTGTGATGGCTGCAAAAATATCCCCTATTAGGATTTTATGCATTAAACATCCATAGCAATTATGTTTAATGAGTGTTATTCGTAACACACCTTGAAATCCATGCTACTTTGTTGCAAGATTGAGAAGGTATTTTTCACTCATTAATCTCTCACTTAGTGTCACTCATAAGAGGTCTTGTTAGAACAATAATGGATGCCAGTAAAATCTGTCTCCCTGCTTTCTGCTAACATAAATCTCTAATTTTTCCCTTAAACTGATTAATTTATTCCAAATGTTCTGTCGTGTTCTTTACCTCCTTTTCTCTTTTTCATTGTTCCTTTCTCATTAAAATAAGCTGTTCTGAGGAGACAGCACAGTAATTCCAGGACAGTTTTTAGGAATTGACTTTCTCTTTAATGTTGTATTCAGACAGATCATTTTTATTGACTTAATCTTAGAGTTTATTTTAAACTCTTGCTTTCCTCAAGGCTTTTCTTGCAGTGTTGCTTCTTTTTGTTAACTTCCTGCAGTCAAAGCAAAATTATCAAACAGAATGACAGGATGGTCAAGGTTGGAAAGGACCCTGGAGGTCATCTGCTCTGACCTCTGGCTGAAGAAGAGTCAGGAAGATCTGGTTGCTCAGGAACATGTGATTGATCCCTACTATAAGCATTTGTGACCTGTAGAACAGGTTTTTTCTTTTCCTTCAGTCTGCCAGGAAAAGAATAGAAAAGAAATAAACAATAAGTAATACAGTACTTAATTTTGGAGAAGGTGGATTGAAAACCTAAAGCTTGTGCAGTCAATCTAAGCAGGGTTAGATTGCTGTCTTACTGGTCTTCAAAAACAAAAATTCCCTATCCTCTTTGTACCCAAAACAGAGGTGTGACTATTTAGAGTAAAATCTTGTAGAATAAGTTGATAGGCTTATTCTTGTAGAGTTTAATTAATAAGGCTTTGATAAAAAAGGTGGTAAAACAAAAGCTCACTCAGACAACCCAAAGCGGGAGGGAGATTTCAGTACAATCTTTGAAAAGCCAAAAGTCTCCCTTTCTCTCACTCTATTTGGCCTTTCTTTCAAGTGAAGACTTGAATGTAAAGGGTTGAAAATCCTTCTGACAGAGTCAAATAGGTAATTTTCTGAACTGGCTAAGCTTGGAGTGAAAACATGCCACTATCCTGATGGGGTTTTGAGGAAAAATAGCAGAATAGCTGTCACTCTAAGACTGGAAAAAGGGACCTTAAGCTGACATTTGGGGAGGAGTGTAGAGTCAGAAAACACCAGCTTGAAGCTCTCAAGACACTGCTTGCCAGCAATTGGTGGTGCATATTTCCTGATCTTGTTGTGTTATGGCAATGATTTTAGTGTTTCAAGTTCAACTCGAGCCTGATTCACTGTGGAGTATTACATTGAACTTGAAGATTTTGAAGCAGCGCCTTGTTAATTGCTTTTTTTTGGGTTTTATTTTCAGGTCTCAGCATGGTTTTTCACAACCTTTACAGTCTCAGGGCTAAAGGACAAACTCCACTATGTGGAAAGCCTTCAGCAGTTGTTCACAGCCATACCCCCCGAACAGATTGACCTTCCCCCTTTCGTGCTCGAGTACGACGCCAGGGTAAGTGACTGCCTGTGGCCACCATGAAACTCTGCCCTAAGAGCAGCCCTTGTGCTGCTCCCCTTCTGGTCTGCAAGTCTTTAAGGGCACTGACTTCCACACCTTAAGAATGGGGAGAAGGAAGAGGGAAGGTTTCTGGAGAGTCTGTGTTGTTCTGTGAGTAATGATTCCCTGAATTTTTTGTCTACATCACCCCAAGCAGAGGGCTTGGCTAAGAAGGAGGGCTGCTTCCCCATTAGAGCAGTCTCCTGTTGCATAAAAGGCAGCCTACCCTTCTTCAGCCAAGAACTGTAATATAACACACTAACAGCCTGTGGACAAGATGAAATTTGTGTTAGCTGCTGCACACCTTATACTGACTGGAAAAAGAAATGGTAGCTGTGTTTTGTCTTCCCTGCCCCACATGCTAACAAAGCATTCAGGAAAAGTAAAAAAAAAAAAAAAAAAACAAAAACAGCAGGGAAAAATGGAACAGTAGAAAAGTGTCCTGCCTTTGTATAGGACTTTCTTCCTCTTCCCTTCTGCTCCTCAGGTCTCTAACCAAATGGTGGCATGAATGTGGCTTGCGTTGGCAAAATCCTTCCAAAGACTATGTGATGTAACTCCAAAGGAGTAGCCAGAGCTGTGTGTCTGCATTAATTAGTAGCTGTGTCTGAGTCACTGGTTGTACCAACATCCGTGGCTTCCTGGTGTCACAGCCTTGGCTTAATGGCAAAAGTTTAACTTGCACCTCCTGCTTATGCTTAAAACACAGGCAAAAGCAAGGCCTGTGTTTGCTTGTTTAGCAGCACAGTCCTCTCCTGGGTGACTTGTGGCACTCACTGTACCCAGGGAAAACAAAACCTAATATCTAATTATTTGTGCCTCTGTGACACTGTCACTGCAACAAGGTGTATTGGAGAAGGCTTCTGTTCAACTGCTTGTTCTGTTCTCATTGCAGGAAAATGGGCCTTACTATTCCTCTTATCCTCCATCCCCTGACTTGTGATCTGCAGTCCTGTGATGCTGCCAGTTCCCCATGGATCCAGTGACCTGATGCCTGCCAAAACCTGTGCATTTACCCATGTACAGAATTCAGAGAGAGGGTTTTCCTCCCCCAGCTCTGGTATTTTTTTACTGATGAGATATTTTCAAGCACTCAAGCAATCAGAGAACTTTATGCCACTGTGAACTGTACGACTATTTCAAATATATTTATCCAATGGAAAAGCTGATTTAAAGATCACTAGATGCATTTGTTTGTTTGTTTTGTTGTTATTGCTGCTGTTATCGTTGTTTTTTGAAGCTGTTACATTATTTTTCTGAAGAGACTTTCTCTTTTCTGGGAAATCCATCAAAAGCACTTGATCATATTTTTAACTATTACTATTTTCCAGCTCTGTTTGTAATACCCATTTCTGACTGGTCTGTACAAGTATTGTGTAGTACCAGCCTGACACATCACTCATCATGTGGTCTGTGTTTCACATCTGATTACTTTCCCTTTCTGTTAGTACTGATTACTTTAGTCTTGACCCAGCAAAACTATCTGGAATTGGGAATGCCATGTCTGCAGGCTGACAGAGCACTACAGCCAAGCCAACATTACTCCAGGATTTAGTCCCACAAACTGCTAGGAGCCTTGAAAAAGTCCCTGTCAGTTTTCATTGGATGATGTGAAGGACCATGTCAGGATGCCACTACCCTCCCAGTAAGAATAAAACTGAAAAGCATTTGTGGTTTCTTTTCTCTAACTGTACTCATTTATGTTCTCCTTTGCCATGGCCAGGTATGTTGGTATAAGTGGATGCCATCTGCCTAAACTGGGCTTGTAGGGGAGGGGAAATGGTGGCTCCAATCCCAGCCTCTGGTGGCAGAGATTGTTTCTTGGAGGTATCAGAGTCCCTCTGATTTCCTGTTACACTCATGACATGTGCCAGAGAGCTTAGCCACAGGTTACTTGAGGAACTGGAGGTGAAAAGTGTTTCAGAGCTGCCCATGGAAAGCTAAAGGAGGAGGGAGAAGGCTCCCTTGTAAAACATAATCAGGGATGGCAGACCCAAGTGCAGAAGAACTAAATCCTTGGTAGGAAGAATGTCACAACACTACTGAATGTGAAAATGATGGTATGATTTTCATTATTTGATTCTAGCTGCTTTCCTGCTCCAACTTGTATCTGCTACTCTCTGTTTACCAAAATTAATTTCCACTTCTGCAATAACTGCCTTATTTAAGCATTAGCAGAAGTCATTGTGAGATCTCCTAGGAGGTGGCTATTCATGCCTGTTGAGCTGGTTGGAAATTATACCCCTGTCTTGTTTAAAGATACTGTAAACTGATGGGATAAGCAGGGAAAAAAATTCTTTCTTGGTCATCTAATTGCATGTCATGATTTCTGTTTGCAGTCAGAGAGTTTGGAGTGTGGTCTAAGACAGGCCATACTGAGTTCCTTTTGTTTCCCACCTTTGCCTCCTGGCTCAGTGTTGTGTTTATCCTGCACGTATCCTCACATATTGGGATATCTGTTGCTATGTCAGTCACAGATTACAGTAATCACTTGCCTGGGCTGTAACAGTTGTGAATATACAACATATAAAAAGCAAGTGGGTTTGCTTTCCAAGTGTCCCTCAGGGTCCTGAAGTGATTCCATAATCACATCCAAGGTGCTGCTAAAACCTGGAAACTCCAGCGCAATGGAAAACTCCCTTGGTGCTAATACTGGGGAGCAGTGCACCTTATGGTCTGTTCACATGGGATTGATTCAGCACTGCCCTGGTGGCTTTGGGCAAAGAAAAAGCAGCAGTCTGTACAGAGCAGGCACCACGTGTCCCTCCCGCCCCTTTTCACCTGGCTGTTCACAGCTGCCCTTGCCCAGTGACTTTTATAGCCAGCCCTGAATTTTCCATGCTTCTCTAACGATTTGTGCAGCTTTCCACCCCCGTGAACCATCTGCTGTTTTTCACACCCCTGGCTTTTCCAGTGGGGCTGCTGCAGAATTGCCTGCGAGCGCTTAATGGGCAGATTAAAGGTGATTCAGAGCTTATTGTGGAAACCAAACTCTCAGCTTGACAGTTTTTAGATGTTTTCTGTCCCTTTAGCTCACAGATGGCTCAGAGTCATAAAACCTAAGCAGTTCTTGTTGGGACTCAGTCTGCACGTTTTCCAAACGTGCAGTCATTTTCAGAAATTATTTGGCTCAGTGAAGTGTGAATGTGCCTCCAGAGCACTTGCAGAGCAGAAAGGAGATTTTGGCACTGTGCATCTTATTGTGTATATTTTTCCCTTGAAAGACTTTGCTTTAAATCTCATTTTTTTACCCAAGTCTTGCAAATCTCAGTGGCAAGACAGACCTGCATTGTGCTGCAAAGATCCTGCCCTTTCCAATCAGTCTGGAGCTGTGACAATTTACCAGTTTTATGTTTTTAATTGAGATATTTGAAAAAGTAATGTGACAGTGAAGAAACCCGAATCATTGAAATGCTCAGGATATTCACTGCTATTAAAATGTTTCATTGCTTAATTCTAAGATGCAAAAAACTGCATTAAACCAGCTGAGCTGCATTTGTTCTAGGCAATGATAAACACTGGCCTGCCCTAGTTAAGGGTGGACACAATGCTTTCCTCTGGAAGGTGGCCAGGGAGGCAGTCTGTTCATTTTATCATCCCTACCCACTGCAGAATTCAAAGTTCTGATGCAGGGTTTGTTGTCTTGCTTAAAGCCATCTTACACCATCTGCAGGCTCAGAAAGGGGACTCTCCTCAGAGAAGTGTATTGGTGTAATTGTGAGGGTCATCATTCACCTCAGTGTGGCCCGAGGTGTTACAGTGGTAGAGTGGCAGCAGTACTGTCAGTAAAACTGAGCTGTGGTGCTCAGGCCCTCCTTGGCCACCCTGTTCTGACAGATCTGTGTTCTCTCAGTGGCATTGCCATTAAATGTCCTAAGTCTGACCATGCACAGGTGAGTCAGTGTCTGGGCTTTCCTGTTCTCATTTGCCCAGGCTGAGTTTGTAGCACTTGCCAAGGCAGTGACAGATAAATTAGCTGGTGGCTGCTGCTCTTGTTGAGTGTTGTACTGATTGCTCAGCTGGATGCTGTTGGGGAGTGGCAAGAACTCGTGGGTGAAGTCAGAATGTCTACAGGCCTTTGAGCCAGGGTGAATTCATAGAGTCACAGGATGGTTTGGGTTGGAAGTGACCTAAAAGATCATCTAGTTCCATCCTCCCTGCCATGGGCAAGGACACCTTCCACTAGACCAGGGTGTTCAAAGCCCCATCCAACCTGGCCTTGAACACTTCCAGGGATGGGGCATCCACAGATTCTCTGCACAACCTGTTCTTGTGCCTGGTTTGCTATGTACACTTCAACCTGAACTGTTCTTTTTTCCTGTGCTCTCCTGCTCACAAAAACCTGAGGATGAAAACAGAGCTGCTGAGTTTCCTGGGCATCTCTTCCCCAGTGGTTGCCTGAACCCATTTTTTCTACTGCAGCTGCCTCTGTTGCCTCAGCTTTGCAGTGAAGGAGGCCTTGTCCTCACTCCTGTGGCTGCAGGGCTGCACGAGATTAGCATCCTGCTGCTGAGAGCAGACACTCCATGTGAAATCAATTTAGATGGTTCTGCTATTCAGCAAGCTGATACCAGCCCTTCTCCCCTGTCAAAGTGAAAAACAAGAGCAAAAGGAGTTATCCCCTTTCCTTGGCCTCTCTGGGATGAATCTTCTGTTACATTTGTGACCAAGCAACCAGCTAGTCCTGGTCTGAAATTTGTTTGCACCTCTAAGGGTAATACAGGAATTCCTGACTATGTTGATTCTGGCTAAATAGGAACTGATCCCAGTGACTTCTGTTAGCAAGTGCAGTCTTGGGAGAGTAAGGGAATTGTTTCAGCTGTATTTGGGGAAGAGGGAAAGAAGAGAACTACCTGGAACAATTCAATTTGTGATCCTCCAGTGCCAGGGAGGACTAACACCAATATATGGCCAGTACTCCTACAGCAACTGGCTGACTGGATTATCTTCAGTCTCCCTAGGGAAGTAATAATCCCCAAATTAGAGGGATGAACAACTGAGTACAGAGACTGGCAGTGTGCAGTGTCCTGTGCTAGGCCAGGGTGAGGATGGGCGTGAGCTAAAGCAGCCCTGAGCCATACTGGAAATACTGGAGCAGGTAGAGGCAAGCAAACCTGCTGCAAGGGGCTGTGCCCTTCCAAAGTGAAATGAGAGGATGTTTCATGCCCTAGTATGAGATACAGAGCCTTCTTTGCTCATGTGCTTAAAATTAAAGCAGTGTGTGAGGTGGTGGGGAGGGTGCTCCTCTCTGGTTCCAGAGCTGATACAGCTCCCTCCTCCAGGAGAAGGGGGAGAGTGCTGTGTAAAGGTTAAGGACTGCAGGGATTAAAATGCTGCAGCCCTGAGCCCTCTGCAGCATGGCCTCTGCCTCTGTGAGTACCAGGTGGATTTCTGATAAGCAGTCTACTGCTTGGTTCTACAGTCCCCCTGAAATATTTTAAATGGCAAAACCATTCTCAATGTGTATAACTGAAAAAATGCCAAGATTCCTAATGCAATTTAGACATAGCTGTGGAGGAGGTGGCTTTGCTTGGAAGGACATTATGTACAGAAACGAGGGGAAGGGGATTGTATCAGATGATCCACAGCAGCCTGTCTGCCAGCACAGCATCTGTTTTTAATCGGTCCATCAGATCCTGTTTGAAGCCTTTCTCAGCTGTGCTTCCCTTGAAAACCAGATTCCTCATCCAGATGTGGCAGGACTGCTTTCCATTACAGTGTGGTTAGCACAAGAGCAGCAAAACTCCGAATGTTACTGCATGCTCAACACTTTCACCAAGCTGTTGTGAGAAGTCCTTGCTCCAGGGAAGATGTAGGTACCAGAGCTTCTTCTCCTTCATTCCTCCCATCCACCACAGTTCATTCCTCTCCTATTTTTGAGGGGGGTAGCAAGGAAGGTTGTTAAATTCCCACCCTTGTGCTGTGGAAGGTGTCACAAACAGAGCAGTGTCCTCTAATACCAATGCTTCCAAGTGGAACTGGTTTTGGGAGCAGGATGTGGCTTTGTATCCAGGTAACCAGTAATGCAGGAGTACCCTGAGCCTGCAGGTCCTGCAGAAATGCTCAGGATAGGCTGTTCCTGGGCTCAAACCAGTTCTGCACTGTGTCAGTCACTGTGGTCCTGACACATCTCTGTCTGGTACCCCCAGCTCATTTGCTGCCTGCACATGTGAGTTTCAGATCCATCCACTAAGGAAGCTGTGGGCAAATGTGGTGGGCTTAATCTGTAACTCACTGAGAACTGAATGGTAAACAGAGGGAAGGCTCAGCCTGGTGATTTGTTCTTGTTGCATGTTGTTATTTTTCAGAAAGCAAAAGCAATTTTTAAGTAGTTGATAAGAAAAATTATTCAATTGTTAACACTTTAATGAAGCTCTGGAGTGGGGTACTCAACACCTCTGCTGGGATAACTGTGTGGCCTGTCAGAGGGGGTCCTGTGTTGTCCATCTTTTCCCAAAAATCTCACTCGTACCTGGTACCTTCAGGAAAGAGAATTCTGGTTGTGACTGAGGAGTGCTTTGTGTGAGAGGGTCTTCATGATTGCCACAAACCTGAGCTGCTGGCCTGGCCTGGCACATGGACACTGGGTGCTCAGTGCCACTGGGCTGTAACCTGGCCTTCTGCTTGAAGAGAGGGCTGCAGAGCAAGTTTCAAATGTGGCTGTAGAGCTGCTTTATCAACAGGAGCATTCACAACTGAGTCTTGTTTGTAGGTTTGGTGTCTAGCATGACACTGACGCCTACCATAAAGCAATGCTGCACAGGAGCA